AAACAAAACAAAACAAAACAAAACAAAACAAAACAAAACAAAACAAAAAGACTATGGTATAAATCAAGGAGTTAGAACACAATAAAAAACACAAACATACAAACAAAAAGAACATCATATTAAATAGATAAAAAGATCTCAGATCTCATCTTCATTAGCTACCATCTTCTGAGCAATTATATAAAGAAAATCTGAAGGCAATGTTGTTTTAGCACTCTAAAGGTAAACCACCCTCAGTAACCATGAAATCTACTTAGCTGCTGTCATCACTATATGCTTCCAGCTGGGAGAACATCAATGTCTGTTTTCTGAGCTCTGAACCTCAGGTTATTTATCAGAATTGGCAGATGGATGGCCTAATGCTATGTGAAAATAATACAGTACTCTATGTGTATATGAGGTTCAGGTTTCTAAGATGGTCAGAGGTAGACTTCCTGAATCACTTCCTAAATCATCTTTCTTTCATGGGAATGAATGATTCAGCAATACAGTAGAAGTGAACTTGCAGCATAATTTAAAAAATAATAAGAAGAAAGTTTTGGAGGTTATAAAATCATTCATGAAACTAACTTTCAAATCAAATAAAATATTGCCCAAAGAATCAAGAATGCTAAACAGGTAGAGGATAATAATTCATGAACTTTCACATCTTTAGTGGACCTCATGCTTTTGGATGAATGTCGCTCACCTCTAAGATATCTCTGCTCCTCCCTCCCTCTTGCAGCTATCTTGTTCTTTGATATTCTGGGAGACTGGGCAAAGGAAGAGAAAAACTGACCATAACCTCTTCACTTCTTCTTTACAATAACTTTGTAAAAAATCATTTCTTGCTTGACAGAGCTTCCCTATGGCATTGGGCCACCTTCACATAGACATCTGTAATTTTTCTCCTGCTTGAAACAATCTCCCACATGCCACTCTTGTTAATGACGGAGATACCCCTTGATGGTGCTTAACATTTAATAGTGCTAGAGCTCCAGATTTGCCCAAACAACCTTTTCCATTTACCTTACCTCAAAGGCCTTCTAATTTTTCTTCAGAGACAGAAATCCTTTAAGCCCATTGTATCCTTAGGCTACAAATTTACTGAGATTTAGGTTTCCAATAAGAACGTTGAGATGAATGCCACCATCTCATTTATGAATCAATTTTTGCCCATCGGCTTTTTGCTGTTATTACTTTTTATTTTATTTTGCACTCAGAGGAGAGAATCTCATATATATATATGTGTGTGTATATATATATACACACACACACATATATATGCACACATCATATGTTTATTTAAACTGTTGAAAAATTAAATAAAATTAAAATCAGTGCACAAGGAAATTTCTAAATAATTTTTTTGCCCTACAATCTATTATACCTTGTCATTCATTTCTATGTTCACTGGAGAAAGATTCAGGATAAAATTCCTGAGGATTATGTTTAAAGCTGATTAAACAAGTTATTTTCTTGAAGATAATTCATGAAATGCAATATAGCTGACAGTATGATATATGCCATGTAATTGCATGGCTTGGGGTTCTAATGCAGACAGAGTGTTGAAGCAAAAAACAAAAAACCTACAGAGAAAAATTATATTTTTTCAGGGGAATTACAACTCCATTATTATGAGAATTTAAAAAAAATTTCATAGTTTTATTAAAAAAGAACAGAAAAAAGTAGACTTTTAAGTTCCTTAGTAATCAATATTTCTGAAGGATTTCCCATTTTCCATTTGACTTTTGCTCTTTTCAGATGTACATGTTATATAAAATGTTCACTTTTACCTAAGCCAAAATGTTGCTTTAGTTGTTGGTTATCTCTCACCTAGTTTCAAAAGAAAATTAAATGTGTCCTATTCTTTAAACCCAACTAACTGAAGAGTTACTGCATGTTTGCCTTATAAATAACATGTTCCTGTACCTACATAATTTTCCATCATACTTATACTTACAGATTAGAAAGAGCCAGTGTACTTGAAAGAAAGCAATCAACTCTGAGAGCTCTTCAATTACAACAAAATTGTCAGCTAGATAGGAGGAATTAGTACTAGCGTTTGATACCACTGTAGGATGACCATAGGTAACAAAAATACATCATTTAGTTTAATATAGCTTGAAGGAGGATATTGAATGTTTCCAGCATTCAATAAATATTTATGATGATGAATATGCTAATTACTGTGATCTGATCACTATATTTTATATGTAGCAAAACCTTGCTCTGTACCCCATAAATATACACAATTATTGTGGATCAGTAAAGAAAATAAAATGTAATTAAAAAGTATAGAGTGGAATCTCATGAATATTAAAATATTAATTACAAAATAGCTATATGGGATAGTCATATATGATGCCATAACTTGAAAACCAGAGTTCCATTGATCCCTAGAAGCTCCTAAGTGCCTGGGGGTTATTTGGAGAGGTAGGGATGCTGGTGATGTGGGCGCTGGGATGAATCCTGCTGGGGTGGGCAACAGGCTGAACTCTGGGTCTCTTATCCTATATTCAACCACAACAGCTGTTTTATATTCCAAATAATACTGCACTTGATTGAAAAGTTCTCTAATTTAAGAAATTAAAAAGTTCGAGAATACATATTATAGTTAAATGAAATAATTTTACATCTGGTAAGATTGTGTGACTGCAGAAATTTCACACAGATATTTATTAGGAAGAAGAATATTTTTCCTTTAAATATTAATATTCAAATTATTCCATGTGGTTCTATAAAAGTATAATTTTTAAAAAGTATGATTTAATAAGAAGGCACAATCCAATATATTATGTCATGTCATAAACCAATGGCATGCCTTATTGGACAAATTAAAAGCAGAGTGTTATGGTTTTTGTGCACACAAAGCTTTATCATCTAATGGGAAAAATAAGGAGAACCCTAACAAAATTAATTCTCAGTCCGTTTCCATAGATGTCATGTAAATTTGTTTCATGCTGTTTTAAGGTTTCCTATTTTTATACATTTATATAGGTTACTATGATTTAAACTAACCAATCAACCAAATAAAATTGATGGCAATTGTATTCCAGAGTGATAATTTAAGTACCATGAGATAATGGTCATATTGAGGCTTTGATAAGAAATTCTTAAATCTATAAAAAGCTCTTAACATGATTAATAACTCCAACTAATATTCTAAAGATATTAAACATAATAAACATGAAACAAAGTCTTTTTGAAAGTTATCTAAGTTCATGTTAAACTATGAATTGGTTGTTCCACAACCAAGTGAAAATTAGATTCTGAATATAAAATAATAACTCTCTGGGACAAAAAATCCACATGCTATTTATTTAGCAGAGAATGAGGGTCCCTTCAAGGAAATCTAAATCTAATCTACGTTTACCAGTTTCAGAAAATGACTGGAAGTTAAGCTAATTGCAACATACAACTATTTGTTGAAACTTGTTCTCAGTGTTTGCTTTTGATATTTATTGCACAGATATAGTATAGGTTGAAAACAATGTCTCTTAAAATTTACTTTTCTAGCTTACACTCAGAAATCTTAAAACTAAGTATAGAAGAGTAAGTGTACATCTTTAACTCCCTAGATTTAAAAAAATTGTATTTTCTTTACATATAGCTCTATTTCTCCATTTATTTCCTCATAGTGATTTATTCTCTTCTTTCATTAAATATATAACATAATAGGACATATAATTTAGCACAAAGTTTTCTTTCTTTTAAATATCAGTATCCAAATAAACCCAAAGCATGTGGTTCTGTAAAAGTATGATTTTAAAAGACATACAGAATTAACACCAAGACTCTAAACAATCTTTACTTGATGTTTAAAAATATGTACTTCACTTGTTCTTTATTATTTAATGTTTCAAGTTAATGTTAATCTATAATAACCAAACAGAAGTTTGTTTTCTATATTTGTTTCAGTTAAAACTTTCTATGGGAATTTTGTATTAATATCCCTAAGGAGGCATCAATCCATAATTCAATATTTTGTCTTTGAATAATTTTGATATTAGACCTAATTTATTGTTTTGCACATAATAAACCAGTGATATATTGGTTTACACAGAATCTCACACACTTTATGCAGCTCTTTTCATGTCAATATTTTGTAAATACATGATCTAATAAAATATATTTCTTGTTTAAATCTAGATTTTTCTAATATTGCATTTATCTTAAGATAAATCACATTAAAGGTAATAGCAGTATGGAAAATTAAGCCAATATAAACCAAAATTTACACATAGATGGTAACTATCTTAAAAACAAAAACAAAAACAAAAAAAACATAAGAGCAGAAATCTCACTTTAGGAGTCTTGTCAAGTAGTGTGATCTACTGCAATACAGAAAGCAGCCAAATTAAACAGAAATCAATTAGCATGTAACAAGTAATGATCAGCTATGATTTAAGCTTCAAGGAAATATGAGTTGACTCAGACAGAATAACAATTGGCCTAGAACATATTTTAATTTGTAATTATCTGACAACAATGAATTTTGAATAAGCCAGTAAAAAAAGATCTGCAATGGTTACAGGATGTAAAATATTGAAATAGTATAAAATTGTGATAGTTCAGTTATCTTAATATAAAGTGTTGCAGGGTGGGAGGGAGTACTCATACTGCAAGGAAAAGAAGATGATAAAATAATTTAGAAAATTAAATTACCTGCATAATTTAAACATTAAATTATAACGTTACAAGTAAACAAAGTGTGTTCTCATGATTAATCTTGATAGAAAATATCCACTGAAAATATGACAAGAAAG